TCATCCCCAACCTCCCCAGCATCACCCCACCTCCCCAGCATCACCTCCCAGCATCACCCCCAACCTCCCCAGCATCACCCCCACCTCCCCAGCATCTCCTCCCTCACCCCCACCTCCCTAGCATCACCCCCACCCCCCCCCCCACCCCCCACCACCACCCACCACCTCCAGCATCACCCCACCACCCCAGCATCACCCTACCACCCCAGCATCACCCCCACCACCCCAGCATCACCCCCACCTCCCCAGCATCACCCCCACCTCCCCAGCATCATCCCCAACCTCCCCAGCATCACCCCCACCTCCCCAGCATCACCCCACCTCCCAGCATCACCCCCAACCTCCCCAGCATCACCCCCACCTCCCCAGCATCACCCCAACCTCCCCATCAGCAGCATCACCCCCACCTCCCCAGCATCATCCCCACCTCCCCAGCATCACCCCCCACCCCACCACCTCTCCAGCATCACCCCCACCACCCCAGCATCACCCCTACCACCCAGCATCACCCCACCACCCCAGCATCACCCCCCACCTCCCCAGCATCACCCCCACCTCCCCAGCATCACCCCACCACCCCAGCATCACCCCCCTCCCCATCCCCCACCTCCCCAGCATCACCCTCTACCCCTGGCGCCATGGTATCCTTTCATGCACGCACGCCTCTGCTTTCTGGATTTTTAGTTCCCCTCCCTCCCTTCCCTCCTTTATCCAGGACCTTCCCCCTCTCATCCTTACATCTTCTTGGTCTTTTCTTCTCTCTTAACATCCACATCTTTATTAAACATTCCATTTACCACTTCTCTCATTCTTCAGTTTCTCAATATATCCTTATACCATCTTAGTAAACTCTCATCTGCTTTGTCCTTTACTCCTCTCACTTCCTCTTGTTACTCTCAAGTACATTATTTCCCTCACTCCTGTGTTATATACGTCTACTGTGTCCAAGCTTCACATCCTGTCTCTAATGTTGGGTCAGGTATTACCCAGTGTCATCCTTCTCTCTCTCTCTCTCTCTCTCTCTCTGGTACTGGTGGTTCAGTTGATCAGTTTGTTGATACATCTATTGTCTGGAACATGTCTCTGTTCTGTCTCCATTATAGAAAACATTAGTATCGTTTTATTTTTCTTCACTTTAACAATATCAGATTTTTATTATAAAACATTTATCGACTCATGTCCCAATAGTTTATTTATTTTTTATATTTGAATCATTCAGTAGAACAGGTGTTGATTCATATCCATCTGTACTTCATCTTCCCTGGTCCTGCCTCACTCACCCTCCCCGTCCATAAACACATTACGTCAACACTACACTACACACACCTTGACGTAATCCTATTTTTACAGGGAACTAGTTTCTTTCTTTCCGACACACACACACACACACACACACACACTGTAGACTAACCCTCCCTCCCTGTAGGCTCCTCTTCTCTCCCGTGGCCCGCCAGTATCTCACATCAGTCATCACTGGGAACACCGTCGCCTCCCATCATGCCGACAAATCTCGCCTCGCTGCCGCTGTCCACGTTGTGTGTGTGTGTGTCAGCTGTGTGTTGCTCCCCGCCCTCCACTGTACACACACACACTGCTCTCCTCCCTCCTTCTTCCCTCCTTGTTGGCTAATATTCCCCCCCCTCTCTTAACTACACACGAACTACTTCTCGCCTCCTATCAACTGTTCCTTTCCTGTTCCCAACCTCCCCAAAGGCGTATTCTCTCCCTTCCTCTCTTCCCTTCCCACGGTGTGTTCCTTTCCCGTTCCCAACCTACCCAAAGGCGTATTCTCTCCCTTCCTCTCTTCCCTTCCCACGGTTTGTTCCTTTCCCGTTCCCAACCTCCCCAAAGGCGTATTCTCTCCCTTCCTCTCTTCCCTTCCCACGGTTTGTTCCTTTCCCGTTCCCAACCTCCCCAAAGGCGTATTCTCTCCCTTCTCTCTTCCCTTCCCACGGTTTGTTCCTTTCCCGTTCCCCCAACCTCCCCCCAAAGGCGTATTCTCTCCCTTCCTCTCTTCCCCTTCCACGGTTTGTTCCTTTCCCGTTCCCCAACCTCCCCTAGGCATGTCTCTCCCTTCCTCTCTTCCCTTCCCACGGTTTGTTTCCTTTCCGTTCCTAACCTCCCCCCAAAGGCGTATTCTCTCCCTTCCTCTCTTCCCTTCCACGGTTTGTTCCTTTCCCGTTTAACCTCCCCAGCGTATTCTCTCCTTCTCTCTTCCCTTCCCACGGTTTGTTCCTTTCCGTTCCCAACTCCCCAAAGGCATTCTCCCTTCACGGTAACCTCCCCAAAGGCGTATTCTCTCCCTTCCTCTCTTCCCTTCCACAGTTTGTTTCCTTTCCCGTTCCCCAACCTCCCCAAAAGGCGTATTCTCTCCCTTCCTCTCTTCCCTTCCCACGGTTTGTTCCTTTCCCGTTCCCCAACCTCCCCAAAGGCGTATTCTCTCCCTTCCTCTCTTCCCTTCCCACGGTTTGTTCCTTTCCCGTTCCCAACCTCCCCAAAGGCGTATTCTCTCCCTTCCTCTCTTCCCTTCCCACGGTTTGTTCCTTTCCCGTTCCCAACCTCTCCAAAGGCGTATTCTCTCCCTTCCTCTCTTCCCTTCCCACGGTTTGTTCCTTTCCCGTTCCCAACCTCCCCAAAGGCGTATTCCCCCCCTCCCCTCACCACCGTTGATATCATAAACATGGGCAGCACGTCTCTGTTAGGTGGCGGCAAAGATAGTTTTATCTCGTGTTCAGATATCTTAGGGTTAGGGCCTCCTCCTCCTCCTCCTCCTCCATTGCTTACAGGATGTGATAGCCGGGTAGAGTTGAGAGAGGTAGACAGGTATGGGTTTATAGAGGAAATAACAGATTGACAGACAGATATAGACAGATAAATAGATATTAACAGATACATAGACAGAGATTAACAGATATATAGCCACATTGACAGATATATAAACTGATTTAGAGATATATAAACGGTGATTGAGATATATAGATAGAAATATACGTGCAGGTAGAGATGAATAGATAGATGTATAGAAATAGACATAAAAACTATACACTAAATAGAGATAATTAGCGATAACTACTGTACTATGTATTTCGATATTTTGGGAAACTTCCGACTGGTCCTAACCGATCATGTACGGTTACTGACGATAGTTCGCTCTCCGTAGTGAAACCGAGTCACGGGAATGAGTCTCCGAACTGACTCACTGAACTGACTCACCCCGACTGACCATCTGGTGTGGGTGTGTTGTATGATCTGATTTGTGTGTGTGTGTGTGTGTGTGTGTGTGTGTGTGTGTGTGTGTGTGTGTGTGTGTGTGTGTGTGTGTGTGTGTGTGTGTGTGTGTGTGTGTGTGTGAGAGAGACAGAGAGAAGTGTGTTCAACAAGTGAGCGACTGGAATTTACTGGGAATGTAGTCAAGAGAAATTCGGAATCGCTTGAAATGCAACCAGTGGGAATCTGGAATGGTTGGAATGTGAGTCAGGAATCTGGACCAATGGAGATGAGAGATAAAGTTGACGTTGAAGAGGCTGGAGATGAGAGATAAGATGATGATGGAATGATTGAGACGGAGATAATGGAGATGAGAGATAAAGATGATGATGGAGATGATTGAGACGGAGATAATGGAGATGAGAGATAAAGATGATGATGGAGATGATTGAGACGGAGATAATGGAGATGAGAGATAAAGATGATGATGGAGATGATTGAGACGGAGATAATGGAGATGAGAGATAAAGATGATGATGGAGATGATTGAGACGGAGATAATGGAGATGAGAGATAAAGATGATGATGGAGATGATTGAGACGGAGATAATGGAGATGAGAGATTGGTTAAAGTAGACGTATGAGAACTACAGGGAGGTACTACTGCCTGGGAAGATATTTGAAGCATAATGTGTTGTCTAATGGTAGACCCTGCTGCCATATGGCATCACGAAAATTGTGACCAAGTCCCAGGTTGCTCATCTGACTTTCTGCTTCATTTACACACAATTGCAGGGTCTCAATTGTTTCTCTTACTACTGGCAACACAACAAACAATATATTGTTTCTCACTATTTATATTTTTTTAATTTTCGTATTTATTTATGGCTCTTTATTATTATTATTATTATTATTATTATTATTATTATTATTATTCATTTTATTATTATTATTATTATTATTATTATTATTATTCATTTTATTATTATTATTATTATTATTATTATTATTATTCATTTTATTATTATTATTATTATTATTATTATTATTATTATTATTATTCATTTTATTATTATTATTATTATTCATTTTATTATTATTATTATTAATATTATTAATATTATTATTATTATTACTATTATTATTATTTATATTAAGTTTTATTGATTTTATTTTGTTATATTTTCACCCACCAGGCCTTGATGTGGGTCATAAACTGACCTGTGCCCATGTGGGCTAATGCCCGTTAGAAAAAATATAAACAAAAAACAATTGTAAAAAATCTCCATAAATGTCTTACAGCGAGAACGATTTTTATGTGGGTCGTATCTCCCCCCCTCCCCCTCCTTCCCTTTCCCTCCCTTCCCTCCACCCTCCCCAATATTCCCCATGGTAGCTAAACTAACAACAACGCCCAGCACTTCCCCAGCAATATACTGTCACGCCTTACACTCCCACCACTTCCCTAGTAAGGTCCTGTCGCCTCCTCACGTCCACACCTAAACAGATAAAGCCATTGGTTCCAACAGGGAGTTTATCGAGTGGGGAAGACCAGAAACCTCACAGGCGAAGAACAGAAGGAAGTTAATCCTCGACACGGACCGACTAACCCCTCTATATCCCACCACCTCCCTGACAGATTAATAGATCAGGGGAATAAGAAGCACTTAAGACCGAAGGACCTACCTGACGGAGGATCCTCATGTGTGACTCGGACAAACCACTACCTCCGTAAAACAAAGTGAACACGTGAATGAAATGTAATAATTAGTGAAGAACGTGATGGCACTGACCTGGAATGTGAGTTCTTGGGCGTGTCTGTTGGCGTTCTTGAGGACGTGGTGAGCCTCCACCCCCAGCAGCGCCTCCTGGTCTACCTGCTCCTCCAGGCAGGTCACCCTTGACTCGAGCTCTTCCACCCCGCGGCGCAGCGACACGATGCGGGAGTTCATCCTGCAGGGAGAGGCGGTGAGAGGGGTGGGTGTGTGTCTGAGAGAGAGAGAGAGAGAGAGAGAGAGAGAGAGAGAGAGAGAGAGAGTATGAAGCTCCGTACTAAATAGAATTAAGAGGTCGTATAGGAAGGAGAGAGAGAGAGAGGTATAGCACCTAACACCTTATACTAAACAAATTAAAGAGACTGCACTGTAGAACAAGGGACAGGCCACTGATACATTAATAAGTAACTGACTCACTGATTAAGATATTCACTGATAAATTGCCTGAATCACTGCCTGATAGACTGATTGACTGGATAACTTGCTGACTGACTTACTGACTCATTAATTGGCTGACTGGTTGATCGACCGACTGACTGACTGATTAACTAACTCACTAATTGACTGAGTGACTGATTGATCGATCGACTGACTGACTAATAGACTGATCAATAACCGACCAATAGACTGACCAACAGACTAACCAACTAACTGACTAATAGACTGATCACCTAACTGACTAATTAACTGACTGACTGACTGACTTACTACCCAACTGACTATTATAAAAGAATACAAGTGATCGCGGGCCCTTCGTGCCCTTGTAAAAGTTTTAACGCTCGTGACAGCGTACAGCGAATGAGGGTGCGCCAAGTCCGTAGACTTGCATCGTTTTCCATCGTAAATAAAATGGTTAATTAATGCCTTCCTAAAGAAACCATCGACATGGGACCAGGTTTGTTCAACTCTACGAATTTTTTGCGATTTTTCCACCAAGTTTGATGATAAACGATTGTGCCGTTTCGGCTGCCCAGAACAGACAGACAGACAGACAGACGGCTAGACCTATAGTATATTAGAAAGAAGACGACGAAAGAAAGAAAAACTGAAATGAAGAAAAGAGAAATGAAAGAAAAAAGAAAATGCAAATGAAGAAATGAAAGAAAGAAGAATTCAAAAAAATAAATGAAGGACAACGAACGGAAGGTGAAGAAAGAAGAGTAAAAGAAGAAAAGTAAAGAAGAGAATGATGAAAAAAAAGAAAGAGAGAAAAGGCAAAAAACAGAATGAAGCGCGGAAAAGGGAGAGTAAACAGCAATAAGTAGAAGGAAATAAAATAATAATGAAAACAAGAAAAAACACAAAGACAAGAATGACAGGAAAAGAAAATAAGAGAGAGAGAAAGACTAAGAAAATAGAAAAAGAGGAATAAGAGAACAAGAAGAACGGAAGAAAAGAACAGGAAGACCAAAACTGGAAGACAACAGGAAAAAAAGAGGATAGGAAGAAGAGAACAAGAAGAAAAAGAGAAGGAATAATAATAATAATAAAAGAATAGGAAGAAGAGAAGAACAAGAAGAGAAGAACAGGAAGAGAAGAACAGGAAGAAGAGAAGAACAGGAAGAAGAGAAGAACAGGAAGAAGAGAATACAATACTGGGTTCCATCTCGTAATTTACAGTGATGTGTCTGTCAGTCTTAATAAGGACACACACACACACACACACACACACACACACACACACACACACACATACGGGATCACATACATACATACAAACATACAGCCATCCATTCATATAAAGACCAATCGCAAAAAAATAACCGAAATAACAATAACACTAGAAATACCAATGATGACAAATAACAATTACAGAAATATGATAATTGATAACTAAACATGCATTCAACAATAACATAACATACTAAAAAATATTGTAATTGCTGTAAAAGATCCACCCTAGATATAACAGGTATCAAGTTAATAACATATAATATGCTATAACAATATAAGCTATAATAGGAGGCATATAAGCTATAACAAGATATAATACTGTATAAGCTATAACAGATAATGGGAGCTATTGTTTTGCTATTATACACTAGTCTGAAGCTCCAGTGGTTCGGAGGTTCACTGTTCCTGGTGTTTATTGGGTCGATGGGTTCAGTGGTTTGAAGGTTCGTTGGTTTGATGTTTTATGAAGAGGTTTGTCTCTCTCTCTCTCTCTCTCTCTCTCTCTCTCTCTCTCTCTCTCTCTCTCTCTCTCTCTCTCTCTCTCTCTCTCTCTCTCTCTCTCTCTCTCTCTCTCTCTCTCCTAACCCTTTATTTCTTCACCTTCTTTGTCTCCTTCCTTTTCACCCTTTCCTTCATTTCCTCCTTCCCGTCCTCCCGTTCTCTTTCCCTTCTCACCTCCCTTCCTCCACACACACACACACACACACACACACACAGTCAACAGGTCAATATGTCCGCCAGCACTGACCGCGACACAACACTCCCTGACAGCCTCCGTGTGGTCGCCTAGAGGGGAGTGGGAGAGAAGAAGGGAGAGGGGAAGGAAAAGAGAGTGGGTGGGTGAGAGGGAGAGTGGGTGGGGAGGGAAAGAAAATAAGCGAGAGTGAGTGGGGAGGGGGAAAGGGGACAAGGGGCATAGAGAGGGGATGGGGAGGGAATGAGTGGGAGAGAAGTAGTGTAAAGGAAAGATAGATTGATAGAATGGAAGAAAGTAACGTGATGGTAGGGGGTGAAGAGGAGGGGGAGGGAGGAGGTAGGCAGGGGCACCTCCTCCCCCCTACAGGATACACAACACAGGCTACGTGACAGTACCTAGCTCACACACACACACACACACACACACGCAAGAATCCGTATATTATTATTATTTCACTACAATTCTTAATCATTAGGTAATTCCGCCCCACACACACCTTAATTACACCTACCTGTAATATGAATTCATTTTAGCTCTGACCTGTGTGAATGTTCGTTACTCAAGTCTAATTTAATACAGATATATCCCAACCTAACCTAACCTAATCTTGCTTAGTCTTTCATAAATTTACCTAAGCTAAGCTATTCCACCCTAATCTGTCTTAACCTCATATATCCATAAACTAACTTAAATCAACCCAATTTTACCCGTCCTAAACTAAATTATCCCCAACTAACTTTCCCAAACCCAGCCTAATATAATAAATCCTAAACTAACTTAATCTAACCTAACCGTATGTATGTATGTATGTATGTATGTATGTATGTATGTATGTATGTATGTATGTATGTATAATTAAACACTTGTATCTCGTCCAACATAATATTTACCTTTATGTACTATTGGTTAATAAACCCTACTAACAAGTCACAGATCATGTCACATACATTCCATAGTTCACTCATGTTAGTAATACACTTATAATTATGCACATCAATTTGTTAATATATATATAAGATCCTTTATGGAAAATATATACCTCTGAGTATACGTTTTAAAGTATGTGAATATACAGTACACATAATAGATGCTTTTAAGATGTAGGTGTATCTTCAGGACAATATATCTAGGTATATACGGGCAACAAGCCTAGCTAGATATTTTATGTGGGGAGGGTTAGTGGTTGCAACAGAACATATAGTGTATTCTCTCTCTCTCTCCCTTGTCTATTGTCTCACTGCACACAGGGTTTACGTGATAGTATATTAAATACATAAAAGCCAAGGCGTAAATACAACGATTTAACCCAGATAAGCGAATGGCAGACAAACAAAATAGCCTCGTGCGAACCCAGCCAGACAGGAGCGCCCGCATTATTTGGCGCCATTAATAACAGCTGAGCGCCTCAACCCGCCACACCACAGTACACACACACACTCACACGGTATCCAGCCATACTGACAAACTTATAGTAACACTGCTTTAAGAGATAAGTTACACTCGCATTTAACCCACTGGTGAGTCTGCTATAGGTCTGGGGTCCCGTGTTCATTATATTGAGTGACTCAGAGGATATTTACACCCGGTCGTCAGTGACTCATGGGAAGTAATAAACGATATGGTTCACAGTTGGGGACCGTCATGGCATTTAATTACAATTACTCGTTTATTACTGGTTTTAAAAATGAGGTGATTAACGCGTTGGTACACTTGACGATTAATGATACCTTTTTTATACTGAATTAGAGGAAGGGAAGAGGGAGGGGTGGTAAGACCGAGTAGAGTGTGTGTGTGTGTGTCAGTACCCCTCCCGACCCGGCTGACATAATATCCTGTTGCTGTCATTGCCTCATTTTTACTTCCTCACACATTTATTTATTTTCTGACATCACCTCTAGACGCTTTCTCATCACACCATCCTGTCTTTTACCATAATACAAAATAGTTAAGTATTGACAACAAAAGGTTATAATGTTGATGGATTTACACACTGGGCCAGGATACGGCGGGTACACACACACACACACACACACGTTTCCTAGTTGCCGCTAGTTGCACATGTCTGTCTCTCCCGCTAGATGGTGTTGATGAGTCCTAACACCTCATCAACCAAAACACCACCGGATGTTCTCTAACTCATTCACTATCTCGTAAGAACCTAACCCAACCTAACCTAACCCCAAATTATAAGTTAGCTTAATACTAAAACTTACTTGTCGCTCTGTAGTTGAGGTAAATTTGTATAGTATCACAGTAAATACAACAAAAAACGATCACTGGGTTAGGGTGTGTGTATTTTTTTGTGGCGTGTGTGAAGGTACAGTGTGACGCGATTGGTAGAAGTGTCGTGGTGACAATGGCGGTGATGTGGCAGTGACTGTTGTGGTAGATGGATGTGGTGGTGACTGTATGTAGCGGTGACTGTATGTAGCAGCTGTGGGTGAGGTGTGGTTGCTGTGGGGAGGCGCGCGTGAGGACTAGTGAGCCCGACAAACAGTCCCAACACACCTACTACCTCCACCCTCGCACTATTTTCGTGGCATCCCGTCATTGCTCGGGGATTCCCTGATCTATCCGAGTCTCCCCCTGAACGTCTCGATTTCCCGTTTTTTATGACATTGGAAAAATTATGAATGAGTTTGATATTCGCTATTATGTAAATTTAGCGCCCTCCAGTGACGGTTAAATAATTAAGTTTATCTACGCTCATCGTCCTACACCTTGACAATTTTTTTTTTAATTTTTGGTGAATTAAACTAGGACAAAGAGAGAGAGATACTACAGGTTACCGCCCGTAGTTGAATCACGACGCGGGGGAGTTTGTCATCAGTGAAGAATTTCCGTACGTTAGCGCTCAATGACAGCTGAGAGAGAGAGAGAGAGAGAGAGAGAGACTTTTTTGTATACGTAAAAAAAAAAGACAATAACCATAAATTCCTGCCGAGACATAATGTTTCCATTCATTATACATCTACAAAACTTTATCAATACCTTATAAACCATCACTTTCCCCTTATCGTCACGCACAATAAAGCTTGGAGTCGTTTAGGAGGGAGAAGCTTAACCCTGCGCTGGGGAAGTCTACGGTGACCAGCCACCCGGGATGTGAGGCCTCAGCACATCTCAAAGGCTCTTAAACGTCAGATATTCCTCTCCAAACTATATATTATGTCTGACCTTATAGAACTGAATCACTTAAGCTTCGATATAAAGATAGGTTTTAAAATGGTTTTTCTTTACTGCAGAGACTACAGTAATGTTGTCTTATGTCGCAATTAGGTGAAAACTTATGTGTTGTGTAAGAATTATTGTTATTGTTGTTTACCCTGACCAAGAGTACTGGCAACTGTGAGGCTTGTGAACCCCGGGAAGCTCTTGTGGCCCCCAGTTGTATACAGACAACCAAAAGCTGTAATGAGTGAACAAAATTATACACTTATGATAATGTTAAGTAGTTTAGAACTGATCGATCATTTATTTCCTGGTACTTTAGATACAGATAACATTGTCGCCTTAGTAATCTCACTGTTTTATCTCCTTAGAAGATTTATAACATGATATTCTGATCAACACTAAAGGATAAATCATCAACAGTAACTCGGGGTCCCGCCACTCCACCTTGCCCCACAACGTAAGCTAAGTGATGTATAGTTAAGACAGCCTATAGCTTCTTATCTTCAACTCTATAATAAATTTTATTCAACAGTGAAATGAAATGTTACTTAATCTGTAATTAATTCTGTTCCAGGGTTCGGTGTTTCGATTCCCGGGCGCTCCCAGTTCACCTTAAGGGACCAACTCACCCTTGGATGTTCTTTGGCTGGAGGTAAGTTTTACGGCTGCTTAAGCTGATCACTGTCATAGTTTTGTCTCTTTCTACATTATATAAAATTAAAGAGGTTTTTGTACCACCCTTATATTTGTGTAAATACTGTCATAACAATAATTGTCTTTGGAGACAGCGTACAGCACCGGCCAGTACCTGGCGGTTTATAAACACATTTAGAATTAAAATGTTTGCATCTGTGTTTGTCACATGTATAAAATCTTAATCTATCCCACCGTTATATTAGTTAACCCTCATCTTAACTCTGAACTTAATCTATCCCTAACCAGGAAACATTGAGATTAATAATAGATTAGGATTAAGCTAGGTAATGGGAGATGATTTTACATTTGCAACCCAAATGGATGTCACCATCGTATCCCCCCCACCCACATAAACCCCTGTATCAACTTCCCGCGTAACCCAAGTCACTGCTCAGACTCTTAATAAGGTTCACCTTTAACTGTGGCTCCGACCATAAGAAAGTTGCCTCACGCATAACGAAATGCTTGGTTAACGTCCCCGTCCTCACTGTTGGGGTGTGTGATGGAAGGTACAGTACAAGCTTTAACTACATAACTATTGATGTTAGTAGCCTGGGAAGATATTGGAAGCATAACGTGTTGTCTAATGGTAGATCCTGCTGCCATATGGCATCACAAAAATTGTGACCAAGTCCCAGGTTGCTGATCTGACTTTCTGCCTCATTTACACACAATTGCAGGGTCTCAATGTTTCTTACTTTGACAACACAACATACATATATTGTTTCTCACTATTTATCTTTTTTAATCTTTGTATTTATTTATTTATTATTATTATTATTATTATTAATATTATTATTATTATTATTATTATTATTATTATTATTATTATTATTATTATTATTATTATTATTATTATTATTAATATTTTTATTATTATTGATATTTATATTTTCGCCCCCTCGGTCCTGACGTGGGTCAATGGGTCATTGACCTGTGCCCTGGTGGGCTAATCACAATAAAAAACAAACACTTTCAAGCTGATGCTTACAAAGTAAAACTTAAATTCGTGGACTAAGTCAATTTGTATATAAATGTTAATGTTGGAGCCAGGCAGATGGAAGCGACGCTCTGCTTTCTTGCCCACAGTCAGAAAGTAAACAAACAGTGACGTCACGTGAAACGCTCTTATTGTTTTCGTTCCTTTGTTTGTGTGTAATAATAATAATAATAATAATTAACGGTTTATTGAAAGAGCTGGCAGCCAGAAGACTGTGTGTGTGTGTGTGTGTGTGTGTGTGTGTGTGTGTGTGTGTGCGCGCGCGCGTGTGTGTGCGCGCGCGTGTGTGTGTGTGACACAGCGTCGTGACCTGTACATTACATGACTTTCATCGACCTAACCAAGGCCTTCGACTCGGTCAACAGGGAAGCCCTCTGATGGACCCTCAGCCGTTTTGGCTGCCCACCAAAATTCATCGCCGTTGTGAGGCAACTCTGCAATGGCATGAACGGCAGTGTCCTGCACAACGGCACCCATTTTGAGTTCTTTCCCATCCAAACGGGGGTTAAACAAGGGTGTGTATTGGCACCAACTCTCTTTTCCATTTTCTTGGCTGTCTTCCCTACTCGTGCCAGTGCCAATTTACCCGGCGGGGTGGACATCGAATACCGGGTGAAGGGCCTTTTCAACATAAGACGACTCCAGGCAAGAACAAAGGTTTCGGCAGTTTCCATTACTGAACTTCAGTATGCAGACGACCTCACCCTTGTTGCCCACACTGAACACGACCGACAGAAGATCCTGAACACCTACGCAGATGCGTAGGCGCACTTCTGCCATAAGGTGAATGTACGTAAGACTCAGATTCTCTTTCAACCTGCCCCTGGTTCAGCCACACCTCCACCATCCATCCAACTTAACGGTACTACCCTCTCTACTGTTACCCACTTTCGGTATCTCGGCTCCCACCTGCTATGTCCACCACCGCAGACATCGATGAAGAGATTCAGCACCGGATCAGATGTGCATCTCAATCCTCTGGCAGACTCCGAAACCGTGTCTTCAGCTGTAGGGAGCTGAAATTATCTACAAAGCTGCATGTATATCGAACAGTGGTCCTCTCCACCCTGCTATATAGCAGTGAGACATGGGTCACATACAGGAAGCACCTCAAGGCACTTGAAAACTTTCACCAACGTAGTCTACATTGCTGGGAAGACAAGAGAACAAATGCCACTATTCTTGCTGACACCAACTGTAGGAGCATCGAGGCTACCATTATCCATGATCATCTACGCTGGACTGGCCATGTTACCCTCATGGGCGACAGTAGACTGCCAAAGCAGCTACTTTACAGTCATCTAACGAACAGTAAACGTAACGCCGGCGGGCAATTGAAAAGGTATAAGGATAATCTGAAGACAAACCTGAATAAGTGCCAAATCAACCCCCCTCACCTGGGAGTCGATTACTCCACACCTTAATGCTTGGAGGAGCCCCACACCAGGTGTCAATACTTTCGAGTTAACCCGACTGCAAACCGAGGCAGACAAGCGCCAACGCCGGAAAGACGCTGCCACCGCTCCCGCACTAGATGCTGCTGTCCACTTGTGCGACGAATTATGGACGACCCTGTGGGTCCCGTATCGGCCTCTTCAGTCACCTCAAAACTCACCAACCAAGGTGACATCCCTATTAACTTATATCATTGTATCATAGCTGGATGATCGTCATACTCGATTCCGAGTGACAGAAAAGTAGTAGTAGTAGTAGTAGTAGTGTGTGTGTGTGTGTGTGTGTGTGTGTGTGTGTGTGTGTGTGTGTGTGTGTGTGGGGTCATCAACATATGACAAGATCCACATGGTAAATTTTGCTGCAAATTTCACCAAAATGAACGGGGTGTTTCCTTGATAATAGAGTTTTTCGGCTGTTAAATAAAACGATGATAAGTTGACAGAATAAAGTATCGGTATTAACATAACATTCATCAAGAGTGTTACCAGGGCCTCAGAAGGTCCAGCGATGAATAGTTCCTTGACCTGTGGTTATAAGAATGCACTAACTGGTTAATCGTAAGCTTAAGCAAGAAAGGAAATGCTAAAAAATAAGTTAATATTACTAATATTAGTAACACTACTAATAATAATAGTAATAATAATGATAACGTTATTAATAGCAATAATTAAAAACAACAACAATACTACTACTACTACTAATAATAGTAATAACAATAAATCACGAAATCAAAATTTTCTTCGTTACTATTACTGAAATTCGTAATTGTTATAATTGTACATACATTTTTTTACTGTTGCCGTGTGGTGTTGAGATAGTCTTGCGCAAACTACAAGTCTAATGTTGCACACAACACAATAACACGACATCGTATGTTCAATTATAGCACACAGCCCCATTGTGAACGTGCGCCGTGTTTTTCTTTCCTGAGCACCAGACAATATAATTATTACTCGGTATCCGCATTGTTAGGTCAGTGGCCTAAACAAAAAAAATCATCAAAACTGGAAATAATTTAATAATTTCCGTTGTGGTTCGTCAGCGTCCGGGTTTTACATATTGATGACTCGGCACGTATTAATGAGCCTCGTGGGGCCCCAGGCAAGAAAATTCCCGCCAAATTCACATCGACCAATATTGTTTTAGCGTCGCGGTCTGCCGAGGCCAGGGCGCGCGGGACAAATTTGGCGGGAAAATCATGG